CCCGGAACCTCATGGCAAGCCGACGTTTTATGACACTCCAAACTTCTGAGGACGCTGAGTCATATAGGCAGCTCAATAGACAAATCATGAAGTGCATGCGACACGACATACGCTCCTTTAATACACAACGTATTAAGGAGACTATTGAGCGGAACCAAGGCTCCAAAGTGTTTGGAAGAGACGCGTCTATTGGGCAGAGCCACTTGACAAAGCTGAAAACTGAAGATGGACGTGTAACGTCGAATAAGGCAGAGGTGCTACGGGAGATAGAGAGGTTCTATGAACAGTTGTATACCTCGATATCTAATGAGCCTGCAAGCTTGGTGGCAGACCCTAGAGCCAAGCTATCCCGACATTATACTGAAGATATCCCGGACATCAACCTGTACGAGATTAGGATGGCCCTCAAACAGCTCAAGAACAACAAGGCACCGGGCGAGGATGGAATCACCACAAAGCTGCTGAAAGCGGGCGGGACGCTGGTACTGAAAGTCCTTCAGAAGCTATTTAATTCCTCCTTGCTCAAAGGAAAAAAACAAGAGGCATGGAACAGGGGTGTTGTGGTTTTGTTTTTCAAAAAAGGCGACAAAACCTTATTGAAGAACTACAGGCCCATAACACTGCTGAGCCATGTCTATAAGCTGTTCTCGAGAGTCATCACGAACCGTCTCGAACGCAGGCTTGATGACTTTCAGCCTACCGAACAAGCCGGTTTCCGAAAAGGCTTTGGCACCATAGACCACATACATACGCTGCGGCAGATTATACAAAAGACCGAAGAGTATAATCGGCCACTGTGCCTGGCGTTTGTGGACTATGAAAAGGCCTTTGATTCCATCGAAACTTGGGCGGTCCTTAGATCTCTGCAGCGGTGCCGTATTGACTATCGGTATGTCGAGGTGTTGAAGTACTTGTTTAACAACGCCACCATGTCAGTCCGAGTACAGGAGCATTGCACGAAGAAAATCACGTTACAGAGAGGAGTAAGACAGAGAGATGTTATATCTCCGAAACTGTTTACCGCTGCCTTAGAGGATTCCTTCAAGCTCCTGGAATGGCAAGGACTTGGCATCAATATAAACGGCAAATACATCACACACCTTCGATTTGCTGACGATATAGTGGTCATGGCTGAGTCGCTGGATGATTTGGGGCAGATGCTCGGTGACCTCAGTAGAGTTTCCCAACGAGTGGGCCTTAAAATGAATATGGATAAAACAAAAATCATGTTCAATGTCCATGTTAAGCCCACCCCAGTAACTGTTGGGAACTCTACTCTTGAAGTTGTAGACGAATATATATACCTGGGACAGGCAGTCCGATTAGATAAGTCCAACTTCGAGAGAGAGGTCAGTAGGCGGATCCAACTCGGCTGGGCAGCGTTCGGTAAATAAAAAAATGTGTTCTCGTCCAAAATCCCTCAGTGCCTTAAGACAAAGGTATACAACCAATGTGTGCTACCAGTGATGACTTACGGTCCCGAGACGTGGTGCTTCACAAGGGATCTTTTTAGGAAGCTCAGTGTCGCGCAGCGAGCTATGTAGAGGACTATGCTTGGTATTTCTATACGGGACCGAATCAGAAATGAAGAGATCTGTAGAAGAACCAAAGTTGCTGACATAGCCCGTAGGATTAGGACGCTGAAGTGGCAGTGGGCAGGCCACATAGCGCGAAGATCGGACGGCCGATGGGGCGGAAGGATCCTCGAGTGGAGACCACGTACTGGCAAGCGCAGTGTGGGACGGCCACCTACGAGATGGACCGACGACCTGGTAAGAACCGCTGGGTCACGTTGGATGCAGGTGGCAACGGACCGGCCGCACTGGAGATCACTTGGAGAGGCCTAGGTTCAGCAGTGGACAATGGACAGGCTGAGATGATGATGATGAGTAGTAATAAAACACCAGATGCCGTGTAATGTAAAAAGCAATCCGTATACCCTGGGCCGCTAAGAGAACAAACATAATAATTATTATTATATATGTCAGATGCTTAATATAATTTCGGTGATGCCAACAACGCAAGAAACAAGATATGAAAAGGATTTCCAATAAAGAGAGTTATCAAATAAAAATTTATGGATAAGGCCTAGGACGCACTACAGTTATTTTCCCTAGAGCGGTTAACCGCTATAACCGCAAAACCGCTCAAGACGCACACTATATTTATATATATGTATTGTTATTTTTTTATTGCATAGATGAGTGGACCAGCTCACAGCCCACCTGGTGCTAAGTGGTTACTGGAGCCAATAGACATCTATACAACGGCTGCCCCACCCTTCAAACCGAAACGCATTACTGCTTCACGGCAGAAATAGGCAGGGTGGTGGTGCGGACTCACAAGAGCTCATATCACCAGTAATAAGCCGCGAAACCGCACGCAGTTTTCACAGTTCGAAGATGGACTTCAAAATGTATTTTATTGTAGTATGTATTGTTGCTCTGGTACTATGCAATAGAAAAAAATTACGTCAACGTAAATTTCGTAAATATTGAGCCAGTCCACTTACTAGCCGTATTTTTGAGAAAGGTTTATTTCCTAAGATGATAAGAAGTATCAAATTTTAAGAAAACATCCAGAGAAATTTTTCTGTTACTATTGGATGTCAGTAACCAGCTTCAATAAAATTTTGCTTGATGTGCCATCATCATCATCATCATCATCATTTCAGCCTATCGCCGTCCACTGCTGAACATAGGCCTCTCCAATAGATGTGCCATACATCACCTTTATGGATACAAAATTTCGCAAATATATTTCACATTTAAAAAAACCCGCCCGCAATTACGCATAGTGCGCGTACACTCACTTAGTTCTATGGATTAAAAATTTTGCTGCGGTCTTTTACGCGATAATTTTGTAACATTTCGCGGTTTTAAAACCAAACGCCGGAATAAACCGCAAGTGCGGCCGCTTATACTCGTTTTTCTATTTCATAAACTCACACGGTTTTAAACTTCTGCGTTTTAACCGTAGTGCGGCCTAAGCCTAAGATTAGAAATTATTTGAAAGATGAAAAAAGGCTTGTCTATTCTAATTTAGTGCCTCGATCTTACATATAAAAGGTTTTTATTAAGAGCACTCGAACTTGAGAATAAAATAAAAAATTCTGTTTAAGTGATATTGCCACAATTTTTATTTTATTTTAAAGAGTATAAAGGAATAATATTTCAGCCAAATAGCTGCCGCAACTCAGCTGTAAGTGGTGTATTCTGGTGGAACAATTTGTATGACATCTCCGCATAAATGTGGCTCAATTTCACTAACAGCACGAGTTATGTTGACCTTCAGGGCGCCAATAGACTGTAGTCTGAGTGACTGTCTCCATAGATAAGAGATTTCACGTAGCTCGACAGAAAGTAGTCCGGTGCTAAGTCACACGATCTCGGTGGCCAGTTGATGTAGCCACCACGCGAGATGACGAAGCCTTCGAATTTCTCATCCAATATTCCCATGCCGTATGGCAAGTGGCGCCGTCCTGTTGGAACCACATGTTTCTGAGATCCATACCATCTATTCTAGGCCAGAAAAAGTTTGTTATCATCGTCCAATATCGGTCGCCATTGACAGTGAGCGCGGTTCCTTGCGTATCTTCGAAGAATTAAGGACTGATGATACCACCGGACCGAAATCCACACCAAACAGTGAGTTTTTCAATGGCTGATGATTCTCCCGTGGATTTTCGTCGCTCCAAATCCGGCAATTTTGTTTGTTAACAAATCCACTCAACCAGAAATAAGCCTCATCACCGTAGATGATATTTTTCTGAAAGCAGGGTCAGCAATCAAATGCTCTAAAGCCTGATTTCGCAGAGCAGCGCCGCGTCCTCGTTGCAAAAATAGTACCGGACTTGTCGCTTCCGAACATCGTGGCTACGATGCTCGGCAGCGACGAGCCCTGGCTGGCGATGCTCGACTTCTGCGAGTCCACCATCTCGCAGAAGGAGATGGCCGAACGGGAGAGGGAGAGCTCTTCTTCCCTCTCGTTCCGTGCCGCAGCCACTGAGCCTCCTCTCGGTGATGGTCACGGGGCGACCTAAGGGGGTCAAGGCTGCGCCGCAGGCTAACATCACTCTAGCGCGCTGGCACCAGGAAGATGGATCGACGTGTCGTCGGCAACGGTCCGCGATGCGGTTGCATTACCGTCGTCGCTGTTGTCGCCGAACAGACTGTGGAAGAGTAACCCGGTCGGCGGTGTATAGCGTTCCGAACCGGCAGGCTGGTTCTGACCCGAACCTGACTTGCCACTACCAACCGTCGTGGCTACGATGCTCGGCAGCGATGAGTCCTGGAAGGCGATGCTCGACTTCTGCGAGTACACCATCTCGCAGAAGGAGGTGGCGGAACGAGAGAGGGAGAGCTCATCCCTCTCCGCACCTATCCGTCACCGCCGAGCCTAAGGCCGGAGAAGAGCTTTTCCCGACTCTGGCCTATGTAGGAGGCGACCTCCCCCCGTTGAAGGCCATGAAGCGACCTGAGGGGGTGACATCACGTGGCGTGCTGCCTGCGCTCTAGCGCGCTGCATGGCAGCAGTTCCACGGAACTGTTGCGTAAGAGCAACCGGTTGGCGGTATATCGCGTTCCGACCTGGCAGGCTGGTTCTGGTCCAGGGGTATTCCGGAACACCAACGGCACCGCCTGGGGCGGCCTGTCAGGCTGCCGTACTAAAACAACCGATGTAAAATCGTTGACTATCGCCTCGACGACCCGTCGGTCGGGCGTCCTCAGGGTGGCGCCGCGAGTCTGGCTGTAGTGTTAACCGCGGGAACGTCCTTAGTCTGACCGGGTTCTGACACCGGGCGGAGATCGAAAGTCGGATGTAAGAGTGCAAGGGAGACGTTTAGTGCGGTGGGGCCTTAAAAAAATCCTTGGGCCACATACCCCGCGCGCCCCCTAGGCGCAGGGACCTCGTAGGAGGGTCGGGCCCGGCGCGAAAAAAAAAAGGATCTCTGGGCTAGCGTTGGGCAGACTGATATCCTTAAGCAAAACACCACATACCTCTTGTCTGTGAGAAGGTTTCGTCAACGATCTTCTCCATTTTAGAGATATGCCGTGGTATGTAGTCGGCAAAGCGACGTTCTTCTGTCACCGTGAGACTGTTAGCTCGAGCCAGTTCCTGCAACAAAAACTTCCTTAGTTTTGAAATTCGTGAAAATTGTAACATTATACCTACGCGTGACACATTTTTGACTGTTCGTACTTCAGACTGGACTTTTTTCTACTCGCTACCTCTCCTTTCCTTTAATTATTAGAGTTAACTAATTACGATATTTTTGTAACAATCTGTGGTGGCCTAAGGCATAAAACGTCTGGTGCACTCGTGTCGATCGATGCCACTATCACAGTGGTTCAATCCGTTATTAAATACATCTGTTTAAAAAAGTTAACGACGCAAGATACTCATTGCGATTTGGAGGCAACATTAGCAGAGTCCGCTCCGCCGTATTCCGCTGTCGCAAGCTTGGCTTCTCAATTTCGAGTAGGGAGAACGAACACGGAAGACGAACATAGTTGCTGCCGTCCATCGACGTCAGTCACCCAAGAAAATGTTGCAAAAGTCGAGAAAATTATTATTACTTAAATTAATTATTATTACGATAATTATTAATATTGAGCGATCGAAGAGTTACCATCCGATACTGAATACAAGAAACGGGCATTTCATATGGAAGTATTCAATCCACTTGAAACAATCTTCGAATATGAGAAAAGTCTCCGCAAGATGGGTGCCGAGAATGTCAACGACAGTCAGAAACAAAATCGACTTGACATTTCGAAGATATTGTTGGACAAGTTTCAAGAAGATTCTGAAAACTTTTTGTCTCGTTTCGTAATAATGGACGAAACATGGGTCCATCATTTTGATCCCGAGACAAAACAGACAATTTTCACAATGGAAACGGCCATCATCACCGACCCCGAAGAAGTTTCGTGTCGTGGCATCGGCTGGCAAGGTTGTGGTCTCAATATTTTGGAACTTAGAAGGGATTTTGTTGATTGATTACCTGGAGCGTGGAACCATTATTACAGGCCAATATTACGCAGCTTTAATTTCCAAGTTGAGGAATGCCATCAAAAAGAAAAGGAGAGGGAAACTTCGAAAGGGCGTGCTGTTTCATCACGACAATGCACCCGCCCACAGTTCGGCAATTGCAATGGCTGCCATTCAGCAAGCAAGCTGGCTTCGAATTGGTTGACCACCCCCCTTATTCACCAGATCTGGCGCCTAGCGATTTTTATCTATTCCCCAAATTGAAAGAATACTTAAGGGGAAACAGGTACGAATACGATAACGAGGTGATGGATGCCGTGGAGAGCTTTTTGCAGGACCAAGACAAAACTTTTTTTTGAAAGGAATTGAAGCCTTGGAAAAGCGCTGGACTCGGTGTGTAGAGAGACTCGGAGACTATGTAGAAAAATAAATTATTAAGTTATCATTAGTCATTCTAACTCATTCTCACTACTTTTTGATCCTCCTAGTAACGCCATCTATTTATAATATCACAAAAAGTTTACACATCTATAAATCCTCTTTTGATGAGGCTGCACAATAATATAGTATAATCTGTGACAATACTGAAATTAGCGCCAAAAATTTTAGAAGTGAACAAATTTAAGTAGGTACGGTACTTACAAAACCGCTGTAGAAAATTAATTAATTTACAAATAAATAATCTAGAATGTTCGAAGGCGAACTACAAAATCGTCTACCGCATTGTGCTACGCTTCGGTCTCACGGAATTGTTAAGCGATAGAAAAGGGCGACCGTCGACAGTAACGGAAGCCTGCGACCTACGAGAGAAGACTCTGGACAAGTTAGTAATGCATATAACAATATCTTTTTATTGATCATCATAAAATTCTCCTAATTTATAAAACCGCATACAGTCCACTCAAAACCGAACGACGGGATTACAGGTTCGTGTAAGCAAATATTAAGCTAATAAATAATATTGAGTTTTTTTTTTATGTTTTTTTTTTGCTTAGTTGGGTGGACGAGCTCGCAGCCCACCTGGTGTTAAGTGGTTACTGGAGCCCATAGACATCTACGACGTAAACGCGCCACCCACCTTGAGATATAAGTTCTAAGTTCTCAGTATAGTTACAACGGCTGCCCCACCCTTCAAACCGGAACGCATTACTGCTTCACGGCAGAAATAGGCAGGGCGGTGGTACCTACCCGTGCGTACTCACAAGAGGTCCTACCACCAGTAAAAAACAGCAGATTTCGACTTCATGTTGCGAGTGGGCCGTGAGCTATTTACACGTCATTTCGGATCCTCCCGATCCATTGACGGTGCTTTTAGGTACCAACCACAAGCAGCGGTCACCGTCGAACCCGTCGCTTGCGAAGAAAGGCTCGACGAGTAAATTAACCCATAGTCCCACTGAGTTTCTCGCCGGATCTTCTCAGTGGGTCGCGTTTACGATGCCGTGGTAGATTCTGTGAAGCACTGCTCTTGCTAGGGCCAGTGTTAGCAACACTCCGGTTTGAGCCCCGTGAGCTCACCTATACGGCAAGGAGAAGCTGAAATAGCCTCTCAAGGCTATCAGCATAGGTAGGAAAAAAGAGCCATTTTTAATCACGAAAGTCAAACAAACAAAATTTGTACCTTGTTGCTCGATCGCACTGTCAAAGCTTTCAAGAATCATTCGAATTTAATGCGCCCGGCTAAAATACTTATTTATTATTACATCTGTCGGTGACCGCGGTGCCGAACATACGTTAACCTAAGTTATCAGGAAGACATGTTCGCTGAACCAGAAACGGGATTTCCTGTAAAAGCCATTAAATTTGTTTTTCCTTATGAATATTAAATAATATTATGTTTATATATTTAACAAGCGGCCCCGACCGGCTCCGCTCGGGTTTTAACAAAAAATTCAACGATTTTTAACGTTGTTTTATTTTTTAAAATAAAAGAATACTTATTGCGGCATAACTATAATATTTAGACATATGCTGTCGCGACACTTTTTGTAAATAATAATGTGTTCTACAAAATCGTAGTACATTATTTTATACTATCATTAATAGTTTTCGCAGGACACGCGATGTAAAGAATATTTTAAGTATTTTTTTACACCTTGGGTTACATTATTGAAGTTTTAGTAAGGATCACTATTTTTTTTTAAAAAGATTATATATAGCCTATGTCACTCGGTAATAGTGTAGCTTCCAAACAGTAAAATAATTTTTCAAATCGGTTCAGTAGTTTTGGAGCCTATTCAATACAAACAAATCTTTCCTCTTTATAATATTAGTATAGATTAAAGTAAATAAAGTAAAGTAAATAATATTATAAAAATGAAAGTAAATAATATTATATTTAATTTTTCAACTGACAACACAACGGACAACATTTACAATTATTTGTTTTCAACCTTTTGTTATTTTGATAATAATCTTAAAAAAACATTCATTGAAAGTAATTATAATTCATTTAGCTTTAGATTTTATTTTTATTGTTCTTGCTTTTAAATTGAAAGACCCAATAAATAGTGTATAACCGAACCAGTTTCAGTACAAAATCGCTTGATTACATGGCTTAATTAGTACTACAGCGCCACGAGTGCTCAAACAACATCAGAAGCCTCTGTTTACCGAATATGCCACCGGGTAATCATAACATAACATTGACTCTATTATATGTTTACCGAATTTCAAATGCATTGAATATCATCATCAATCATAAATTATTGAGAGCTGGTCTAAGCGCTCTTGTTTGTGTAAACAAAAGTTTCATTATGCGTTTTTTATATTAAACGACTAGCTAACCCGGCAGACTTTGTAGTGCATCAATCGATAAATAAAAGACCGAAACTTTTGTATAAAATAAACTTAAAACAAAGAAATGGAATCCGTCCGACGGGGAACACATCTAAGGAAAAACAAAATTGTTATTTTTATTTAATTTCAAGCATTTACATATTTATTTACCTTTTAAGCCTTCTCTGGACTTCCACAAATAATTTAAGACCAAAATTAGCTAAATCGGTCCAGCCGTTCTCGAGTTTTAGCGAGACTAACGAACATCAATTCATTTTTATATATTAAACGATAGAACATACCTAGAACCGGTACCTTAAGATGCACCACAAGTTAAATGCTTGTTTTTGAATCAAGGTCGAAATCAAAATAGCACTGTTGTATTTCTTACACTACAGTAAAAGCCCTTTCTTCGCGGGGTTTCAATGTCGTCATTTATTTAACAGACACGAGACAGAACAACGGCTGGCCAACCCTTCAAACCGAAACGCATTACTGCTTCACGGCAGAAATAGACAGGATGGTGGTACCTTACCCATGTGGACTCACAAGACGTCCTACCACCAGTAATTACGCAAATTATAAGTTTGCGATTTGATTTTTGTTACACGATTTTATTCCTTCACCGTAGAAGAACCGTAGAACATTTGTTAAGTACGTATTTCATTGGAAAAATCGGTACCTGCCGGCGGGATTCGAACACCGATGCATCGCCACATACGAATAAATCGAACGAAAATGAACAATTTTTCGACGAAGATATTATTATATTGGAGCGGCCCTAGTAGACTACCTACCTAAAAGTATGCCATGGACAGATGACGTCATGGCGTCCAATGTGAAACAAGAAAGCATGCATGATTGTTTTCAGACGAGAGGGATGGGTTCTGCTAACCTATACAGGCTGACAAAGCACTACACTAGCACATCAACGTTCTTCAACAGAAATGATTCTTCGAATTCATTCAGTATGGGGAGGCATTCACTGTGAGGTCTATTGACTCCGCTGATCACCTAACATCAGCTAAGTCGTGAGTTTGTCCACCTAAGCAATAAAACAAAAATCAGGTGGCACTATCAATTTCAACATATTTTTACTAGGTTAACCTGTGTGTATTTAATTGTAAACTGCTCTGCAAGAACGTATGTGTATTGATTAATATTAAAATAGACTAGGTAATACAATATTTAAGGAAAGAATAATTCACAAATATATAATTTACAAGCCCGCTGAGGTTAATCCGTTCATTGTTTAATGGTATTTCTTTAAGTAGGTAAATGAAGTGTATTTTGAAATTCAATAAGTTTTTAAAGAATCAAAATCATCTAAAATGATTGACGTTGAGTTGACAGCAACATTGTACAATAACTCCACGAACTTATAATGAAGTTTATTTTGAACATTTTGAATACTTTGGGATGTTTACCTTATATCTAATTTGTAATTGTACCAAAGTTTCCTTTACAATTTTCCTTTCCATTATTTTATGTAATCAAATTGTGTACGGTTTTAATTTTAATTTTTTAAATCGATATTTTAAATAAAAGAAAAATAGAAACATTTTAAATATCCTTATCTAGAGAGAATATTTTACTCGCATTTATTATAAGAAATAAATATACGTAAAAAACTCGTATATTTGGCCGAAATTTAAGGCGGTACGCGTGACTTGCATGTGAAGGAAAATCACGACGCAACTGGCTAAATAGATGATCAGATACTATACATTACCATAAGATAATATTTAACTTTAAAAGCGGGCAAAAGCTTCAACCTTTGGCCCTAGGATTTATAATCGGTAATACGTCAACAATAGCCATTCTTAAAGTAAATCGTAATCCAGAAAGTAATCCGTGTCGTAGGCCATTAAATTTCTTTAAAACAAAGAAGCTTTAATTTTAATACTAATAACCGTTAACTAAATCATAATGAATGATGAATAAAACCATAGTGCGATCTAAATGGACGCCAACGTCATATTATAGTGAGAAAACCGGAACGAAAATCATAATACATAATTCTGCCAAATTAAAATTGAACTCATATTATTATTAGGAGTAAAAGTATGAAATTGCCGATTTGTACTGAAAAAAAATATGTTTTTTTTATGATTGAAGGATTACTGGTGGCCCGGAGGCCTTTCCAGTTTCACCAGGACAGGTGGGCGAACAAAGGCTCAGCCAGAAGGGGTGGGATTTGCTAACAGCTGCCCGAGCGCCTCCGAAAGAGACCTAACAGCTCAAGCGCAGCTGCTTCGCGAATGAATCTACTACCGGATCGGAATTGCGACCCACTGAGAAGATCCGGCGAGAAACTCAGCGAGCCGATTCATGGGTTAGGTTGCACGTCGAACTCTTTGTCGAGTTCGACGAGTACAGTTACGGGGGTCTCTAAGCCTGCTCCTAGTGTTAGAGCTGAAGGCGTTTAATGCAAAGGTTATTGGATCTGATGGATCCGTAAGGACGTGTCTAAGGCGTCGACGGTGACTGGCTCCTGCGTGATCAAGATTCGGGGAGTAGTCAGCGGCGGCAACGATAAGGCAATTATCATGACGCATAGCCTTATCGAAGTACCGTTCCGACGCTGACTTCATGTATTTCTGGATTGATTCGAGGCCCAGGTCGTCGTGTAGGTCAACGTTCCTCACGAACCACGGAGCTCCGACGGCTAACCTGCAAAAGCGGGATTGTAGAGATTGAAGGGTGTCTAAGTGTATGCGGGCCGCGTGAGCGAAAACCACACTCGCGTAAGTCATGACCGGCCTTATGCAAGTTTTGTAAAGTGTCACCTTGTTCCGAAGGGACATTTTAGTCCGCTTACAGATCATGGGGTAGAGTCTACCGAGATTAAACGCGGCACGGTCGCGGACTGATTTTATATGCGGACGGAATGTCATCGATGCATCCAGGGTAACGCCCAGGTACTTGACCTTCCTGGCCTAGGGTATGGGTTGTCTAAAGAGAGTAATCGGGGGTGTGAGATGCCTCCTCCTAATCCGGGAGTAAATCCGTGTGGAGCTTCCCCTCTGAAATAGCACCGCAGTACTTTTCGCTGGGTCGATGTCTATAAAAAAAAGATGTGTGGTGTCGTGGGACACCGGATAGGAACAAAGTTTCTTATTATAAAAATATTAATTTTAAGTTCTATTCGAGGTATAAAGAAAATAAAACTGGAGGCTTCGCAACAACCCACGTTCATTCGGTAACGTGCGAAGTTATTGTGTTACACTTCATTTACGGTTGTTTGCATAAGAGTTATTGTATTGCACAAACGAACGCTCTGAGATCGTGGTCAATGAATGATAAAAAAATATGTTATTTTTTGTACGTTATTACAAAGTTAAGTCGTACACTGTGTGCATTACTAATAAAAATCTTACGTTACGGACGTTTTTTACCGGTTAGGGTACCCATAAGGAACTTCGTTCCAAAATTTAAATTCGCTTTTTTTTTTCATTTAACATATTTGTTTAATCAAAATATCTACCTACCATTATTATCTATACATTGCTGCCATGTAATAGGAAGGTCATTTATACCTTTGCGATAGAACTCTAGTGATCTAGATTCTACAAACTGTGTGAAAGTATTTTGTACTGCCTCCTGGGTAGAAAACTTTTTATCACGTAGAAAATTGTCCTAATCACAAAAAAAATGGTAGTCCGTTGGAGCAGGGTCTGGCGAATACGGAGGGTGACGAATGGTTTCTATTTTCAGTTCCTGTAGAGTTAAAACGGTTTCTCGTGCTGTATGAGGTCTCGTGTTATCATGGAGCAATAATTGTGAAGATTGATTTATGATTCGGGGTTGTTTCACTGCAAGTTTTGCTATCATTGTTCGGAGTTCGGCACAGTAGTCAGTAGACATCTGCCGTTATTGCTTAACCAGATCGGAGAAAGCTATAGTGAATAACACCATGCTGAGACCACCAAACAGTTACCATTACCTTTTTATTGGTAAGGTTTGCTTTAGGACACTGTTGCGGCGTTTGACATGGGGTCTTTTATTCTAATATTATTCTAATTATATTATTTTAATATTCCTTCATTTCTGTATTGATTCAACAAGGCAACGCAAGTTTCAACACGCATTTCTTTCTGCAGATCAGTCAAATCATGAGGCACCCATTTTTCATATTTTTTGATTATTATTATTATTTTTTATTATTTTTTACAATAAAATCATTTTTTCTTACACTATTTTTAATTCAAATTTATTAAAATCTATTCTATCTATTTTTTTGTTGGATTTTCTATAAAAGCGTATTTTTTTAATTTTTTTAAACTATTATTTATTTTGCATTTTTTAGTTGAATTTCAATTTTTTCAATAATTTTTTTTTTTTAATATTCTATGGTCATCAATCCTTAATAAGTATGCCAAATTTCGAGTTAATCCGACGTTTTGAAGGGAGTCAAAATCATGTTCAAAGGTTCCGTTACATACTAACATACATACGTCTGAAGCTAATAAAAGCGTATTAAAAATCGGTACCTTGAGAGCATCCAACTGTTGAGCAGCAGGTGTATTGTCATCTCCGGCAACCACAGTAAATTTGGTCCAGCCAAAGGCTTTCAGTAGAGATACCAGCGACTTGCTGACCTTGTACGCAGGGGGCAGGGTCCTAGCGAACGTGGCCCCGAGAGCTGATCCTTTCTCGTCGATCGGACTATGGGCTCCTGTACATTTCTGTATAACAAAATTTCTTTACTCGTCGTAAAAGAATGTAATTTCTGGTCTTTTTAATCGGCTTTAAAAAAGGAAGAAGTTTTCTTATTGTATAAATTTTTATATTGATGATATGATATCGATTTTTTGTTTTGTTGAATTTTCAGCCGTCATAGAATTCAGACAGGCATACTATTTGATGGTGAGTGGTCACCGTTGCTCAATACTAGAGGAACAACTATATCATCCTTTTTTTCTGGGCCGAAGAACGCACCTCCTACTAGTGATTCTAAGGACTTGCCTTCGAGAGGGCCAAATCTTTTTCTCTAAGCATAGCCTAACCTTTCCATCTATAATTAAGTTCCAATAATATATTACTTTTTCACTGTCGTACGGTCGCAATTTAAATAATTTGTTTCATATATAGAAAATGAAAATAAACAAGTGTCTTTATGTTTTTAGGAATATACATTGTCTTTGTGCTAAATGTAAATACAGACTTTTTTTACATAATTACTGGTGGTAGGACCTCTTGTGAGTCCGCTCAGGTAGGTACCACCTATTTCTGCCGTGAAGCAGTAATGCTTTTCGGTTTGAAGGGCGGGGTAGCCGTTGTAACTATACTGAGACCTTAGAACTGATATCTCAAGGTGGGTGGCGCATTTACGTCGTAGATGTCTATGGGCTCCAGTAATCACTTAGCACCAGGTGGGCTGTGAGCTCGTCCACCTATCTAAGCAATAAAATCATCTCTGGCAAAATTCCAAAAAATATGTCGATTAATAAAATGTTCATTCAATACAATGCAGGAATATAATACTAATAATTATAATGATGGGAAAATTCAGTGGCTCGACTCACTGTATTACGCTGGAAACTTTTAACGGACCAACAAAATATTTACATCATATTATCATTGTTTGTTTAAACTTCAGGCCTCGAACAGAATAATTTTAATTTATTGGTAAACAATTAAATGTTATTTTACTTTTTTCACAATCATTACAAATAAAAATTATTAGATTACAAAAATAAGTTAAGTACATTTTCAAAAAGTCTATTAATTCTCTGATGTTAGCCAGGAAGTGAGTGTATTTTGTAAAAACCCTTTTGCGTCTTAACCGCGTGAACTTCGACTACGAATGAGCTACGCCGTAGCCGATTTGTGAAAAATCATTAAATCTATATTGAGATCTTAGAACTTATATCTTAAGGTGTGTGGCGCATTTACGTTGTAGATGTCTATGGGTTCCAGTAACCACTTAAAACCAGGTGGGCTGTGAGCTCGTCCACACATATAGGCAATAAAAATAAATAAATAAAAAACTTTTTATCGTAATGGCGTCTTAATTCAATTAACTACTACGTAATTGCTTAATTTCAAATTCTGTAGAGAATTGTCGAAACCTAAGCGTTTCAATGTTTCACATAATGGATGGCGAATTATAATAAAGCTTTAAAAAAACTTACATGAGAAATAAGAGGCAAGTTCCAAGCAGCAGCTAGCTTGGCTTCAGTGTGGCATGTTCCGTCAGGTCCGAAAAATGCGGAAACACCGAGATCTCGCATTTGCGTCATTACCCTGTTCAACATAAACTTTATTTATTTATTCGACGAGTCAAAATATATAATCTCTATATATAAAAATGAATTGCTGTTCGTTGGTCTCGCTAAAACTCGAGAACGGCTGGACCGATTTGGCTAATTTTGGTCTTGAATTATTTGTGGAAGTCCAGAGAAGATTTAAAGATAGATAAATATGAAAATGTTCGAAATTAAATAAAAATAACAATTTTGTTTTCCCTTTGACGGATTCCCCGTCGGACGGATTCCTTTTGTTTGTTTTAAGTTTATTTTATACAAAAATGTAGGTCTTTTATTTAACGATTGAGGCACTGCTAAGTCTGCCGGATCTGAATAAAAAAGTAATGAATAAAAACTGGGATCAGAGAGCGCGTTCTTTATATTCTCTTGTGATATAATAAACTTCAGGCGCCATTCCACGTTAACATCAACTATGAAAGGTTTGCTAATAGCTCAAATTGAAACAGCTTGAGGGCTTCATTTTTAAGCGATCTCAAACTTTTTTAGCTATACTAGGGTGCATTTAGGTGTTGATTAGATGAGAATTGTTTCGTCACGTGTTTTTTTCCCTTAAATATGTGCTCCTAAGCCGTGTATGCGCTTTTGTTATAATATTTAATACAGTTGTAGCTACTACTCTAGGGTGGATTTTTTGCTGTAATACCATCGAAAAACGTTAGATGGCGAGCTTTATGGTTTAACGAAACCTATATTTTTAAACATGATGCGATCATCAGAGCAAACCATTTACATATATACCTAGTCAGGTCATAAATTCTGTCACATGTTTAATGTAAAATAATTGAAACAAGTTTATTCATTACATAACCATTCATATACCAAAATTAACTTAACAAAACATAGATTCTTATGACACTAAAGTTTATTCAAAATGACCTCCGTCTCCTCCGACCTCCTTCTTGACCTGTCATCTACACTAGAGTCTTCATTGTATCGTTTGATGGTACGATAACCGAATCTTTTGGTTATATTCAAATTTTTCAGCATGTTAAAAATTTGAATTGGCGCGTAACCGCAACGATGCAACGCAATAACTGCAACACGGTCTTTTTCAAGCGTCCACTCCATATTTAAAAATGAGTAAAATTCTAAAAGTATACATTTTTATTTTCATGAACAATTCGAAATTCGAATTCAATAAACTTTTTTGTGGCCAGCATTCTAAAAGAAAAGTTTTTACTGTGTGACAATACTTATGACCTGACTAGGTATATATTTTCTACTAGTATGTACTCTTTAAAATTATTTCAGTACTTTTGGGCGCATGACCGCCATTGTATAATATTGTTTTTAAGGATTCATTTTAGAATTACTGCTGCAAATAGCTCCAGATCCACATTTGATAAATTGTCATCAAAATGTGCACTATAGAGTCGTATTTTGCAATTATCTCTTACAAAGTGATGAAACCTTACTGCTTCAGATCTAATGGAACATTCTTCAGAATAAATGGAATTAAAATTGGATAGTGGGTCCGGTATCAAAGGATGTCCACCTGACAATAATTGGATATTGGAGGATATTGAATCACTCATGGGCTAAGAAACACATTGATATTTTCAATTGACACAACAAGTCATTACTCAGAATCTGACTAGCACAAGGCTATCGATTTCAGCAAATAAATGTCGACTTAAGTGCTTTATAACGTTTAAAACTGTACAAAATAAATAATTGTATCATAAGTGCCTATGTGAACTTCTTTGGAATTACATCTAGTAGCCAAGAGCTCAGTAAAGAGGCTAAATAGTACATTGACCACGAAGGCGAGGGTGGCAGTTTCACACGCGGGATGAGATGTCCTACTTTTTTTCCGCGGTGCACATACTATTTTTTGAGAAAAATGTTATTGCTCCTCTATTTAAAATTCAATCAAACTAAATCTCCCAACTAATAATCCACTGCATATCAGATAAATGACTGCGTAACAAATTAACTACTTGATTACCTAAACATATTTTATTAAAACACGTATAAAATTAACCAAAATCAGATGACCTTTTTTCTCTAATTTACAACGAAAATCTAGCTGTCTATTAGTCTGTCTTAAAATCTGTATATTAGTGTAATAATGTAAGTATGTAAGTAATATACAGATTTTAAGACAAAATTACTCACCGTATAACAAAAATACTGATTTGCACACTAAATCAACCATCTTACAACGGAATTTCTAAAATAATTTTCTAAAACTGTATAACAGATAATGTATGTTTACATTATCAAATTACATTCCACGAATTTACTACTTAATTAATAATGTATATACAAACAACCTAATAAATGAATAAAAATAATAATTATTTAGGTAAAGCTACTTATAAATAGAAAATCTGTGTTAGCTCACCGCCGGTTGGCAGAGTTCCCAGAAGGCTGGCAGCATTTCCACGCTGGATAGCAATGCTAATTCTTTGTGCAAAATACGTACCGGCCTTCTGGTCTCCCGAGGCCTCAAAAAGTTTTTTTTTTGAGGTCCTTAAAAAAGCAGATGGGCCCCAGGGGCCCAAAATTTCCACCCCAAACGGAACAAAAATGAAATCTTTAGAGAGATTTTCATATTTCCGTCGTTTGAGGCCTTCAGCCGTTGAAGCAGCGCTGCCAGCGTTAGAATTAGTCCCAGGAAGATGTGTCGGGGTGTGAAGTGATGGATGGGCCTGCAACCATAGCCCCGATTCCCATTCTGCAACTGCGAGGAGGCGAGAACGCTCTGTTGAATCTCTACATGAGTCAAGTAAATTTTTACGTATTAATTCACAGAGCGGCTCATCCCACAATCGCTGAGAAGTCGGGACCGTGGGCAGATCAGTATTAGGGCAGGTTAGTAACCACTCATTTCTTGCTTCAGTCATATAAGTGATTTTTGGATCCAATAAAGGCGAAGACAAAATTTTAGAAACGAGTTCGTAAGTACTGNGAGCGGCTCATCCCACAATCGCTGAGAAGTCGGGACCGTGGGCAGATCAGTATTAGGGCAGGTTAGTAACCACTCATTTCTTGCTTCAGTCATATAAGTGATTTTTGGATCCAATAAAGGCGAAGACAAAATTTTAGAAACGAGTTCGTAAGTACTGTGGACTGAACCAAGAAATGCTGGTAATGCTACACATGAAATTTTGCGGAAAAATTTTTACTACTTGTATAGCTAAACTCCCCATCACCCAACTTTATTTCTTATTGTTCTTGTGAACTTCTTTCGTTCTTTTGAAATTCTGAACGAATAAAAGATTTCTAAATGTTGTTTGAAGCTCTTCGCATCAGCGCTTTCTCCCAAACTCTTTACAATCAAAAGCATTAATTTGAGCATAAAAAATGCATTTAAAAAAGTATTTGGTGAAGAATCTACAGTAAAAATGTGCTGGGCCCAATGCAAAAAAAAAGAATTATGACCAATGTAGAAAAATTTGTAAGCAAAAAAAAGAATACTTTATTACAGGATATTGATGTGTTACATCTCCAGATCAGTTGGAATCATTTTTAAATTCTCCTTCGATTGAGCTCAAAGACTGGACCGCGAGTTAAATATGTCACACCACATGTAAAAGCTAAAAACATACTCTCGGTCGGCAGGCCATCCGAAGCCCACCTAGATGGCGCCGGTTAGAATAGGTTATCCTACGGAATGCTCCGATGGGTCAGAACCAGCGTGGGTGAAGGGTAGCCGACCTTCCATCACCCGGATGCTCTTGCGTAAAACGCGTGCAGAGCAGCTTGCACGTCGTCTTCTTAGGCCCCCTTCGCCGGCCCCAGACGGACATGTGAGGGGGACTCGAAACACTTAGAGGGCCAGGACTTGGGCAAAATCCGCCTCCCTGGCCCCTGCTCGACGGCGGTGGGCTTGTGCGTCGCTTCCTTCTGCGAGATGGTGCACTCGCAGAAATCGAGCATCGCCTTACACGACTCGTCGCTGCCGAGCATCGATGCCACAACACTCCGCAACGACAAGTCGTTTCCTATTTTTGCAACGAGGTCACGGCGCCACCCCGCCCATGCGGGGCAGACGACTAGCGTGTGCTCCACGGTCTCCAAGTCGCAACCACAATGGTGGGACTCTGAATTCGGCTCGGCTCCGATCCGGTGCAGGAACTCACCGAAGCAACCATGCCCAGTGAGCACCTGCGTGAGCCGGATAATGAGGCGTCCTCTGTCACGATTCACCCAGTCCGCAAGGGCTGGGCGAATCGCCTCGACGGTCCTACGACCAGCCGAAGGATCAACCAGCCGCCTGAACCATGACTCCAGCACGGACCGCCGAGATTGGGCCCTCTGCGCTCTGACCACACTGGGGCTGGGACGTGCAACGCCCCGGGCACGAAGGTTAACCCGCCACGGATAGTCAGCGGCGAGTACCTCCGCCTCCAGGACCCAAGGGGTGTCCCAGCCAGTAAGCACGCCGCCTCGAAAGAGATGGTTCGATAACCACGAATGACCCTGACCGCGATGATGCGTTGCAGCTGTTGCAGCAAATTTCCTACCCCCACGGCCAGGGACTGGCCCCACACGGGCGCCTCGTATTTGGCCATTGATCGCGCCATCCTTGTATAGAGACCGCGCGTCACCTGGTCAAATTTTTGCGGGTTTGATTTTTATTACACGATGCTATTCCTTCACCGTGGAAGTCAATCGTAAACATTTGTTAAGTACGTATTTCATTAGAAAAATTGGTACCTGCCTGAGATTCGATCACACCGGTGCATCGCTCGATACGAATGCACCGGACGTCTTATTCTTTGGCCACGACAACTTCAACTGCACCCCGACCCCAATACGGACGCCTTCAACCATGATATAAGCATCGACAGGTGGTACTCTCCGGGGCTTGTGGAACCACATGGCCTCGGATTTACTGAGCGCCACGTCGAGGTCCCATCTTCTGATATTGCCGACGACATGCGCCACCCCAGCGGCAGCAAGACGGGCAGACTCAGCAAAACTCCCTGAAACGCATTGGCGATATCGAGCGACACCGCCAAGGCCACACTGCACCCGGAGATGGCCTCCTACGAGAGGAGCCACACGCGAAGGATCGCGTCTACCGTTGAGTGGCCCTCTCGGAAGCCACACTGCTCCGCCAACAGATCGGGTCCCACTCCGACAAGATGCTGGATGATGCCGGCTGCCAGAATGCATTCCAGCAGCTTGCCCACCTAATCCAGCAACACGATGGGACGGTACCCGGCGGCGGTATCCACCGAGCAAAAGCAAAACCTGTCGTAATCATACAATAAGAAGATTTTTTTATGTTGTAATACCAATTATTACGGTATTACTGCGGCTGTGAGCTCGTCCACCGATCTAAGCAATAAAAAAATAAAAATAGAAAACAGCTTGATCGCGAATGCATAGAAAGCTTCCAGCACCAAGACATGATTCTTTAGTTAAATCAACAAGCTGTTAGACACTCGAACGGTTTGTTTAAATTATTCAACGAATAATTTCCTCGTGTTGCCTCTATGTGCTCGCCTAAAATAAATATGTTGCTACTAAAAATGAACATCATAGCTCCTTATTACTTTATTTATTTTGTTTATTTGTCTGTTACAATGATATGTTTTTACTCAACTGATGATCACGGAATTCTGATTAAATGCTGTAGAGGTTCAGAATAGGACACAGTACTTTACATTTCGATAAAATGAATGCAAGTAAAAGCTAGTTGGTAAATAATGACGGGATATGGCATTAATTGTACCAGCCACAACAATGACTGTGTTTCAAAAATATTCAGGAATAACCTCAAATTGGTGAAGTATTTGAGCTTCTTTCTATTAAAATATTCGACATAGGCTCTTATTAAATTTGATCTTATAGACTGACATCTACAAAGTAAATGCCGCCACCCACCTTGAGACATGAGTTGTAAAGTCTCACTTTTAACAGTACAACGGCTGCTCCGCCCTTGAACCGAAACGCATTGCTGCTTCACGGCAGAAATAGGCGTGGTGGTGCTCTTGCTTTTTGAGCTGTGGCTCCGACTTAAAGGGCGGGACAGCCGTTTTACTATAGTATTAAGCCCTCAATGATCTCGACCTCTAGTCTGATGATAAGTAGCAGCACTCACGCTTTGCATGGATGGTAACCACTTCATGCAAGATACGGCGTGGTCTGCTTTGTAACCTAAAACTTGGTACTGTAGCAGTAATGCCTTAGAAACGAAGTTTCCTGAGCCATTACTCTTCGAACGAGGTTTGAGACCTTAACGACTCTTTGCGGATTGGCTCAGACCATGGTCTGCGCAGGCACTGAACTGCCTCTCTCCGACATACGCTCATACAAACAGATAGCAGTATAAAAAATCTTATCTATCTATTTATATAAAAATGAATTGCTATTCGTTATTCTCGCTAAAACTCGAGAACGGCTGGACCGATTTGGCTAATTTTGGTCTTGAATTATTTGTGGAAGTCCAGAGAAGGTTTAAAAGGTAGTTAGATAAATACGAAAATGCACGGAATAAAATTAAAATAACAAATTTGTTTTCCCTTTTATGTGTCCCCCGTCGGATGGATTCCTTTTGTTTGTTTTAAGTTTATTTTATACAAAAGTTTAGGTATTTTATGTATCGATTGAGGCACTACGAAGTCTGCCGGGTCAGCTAGTTATCTAATAAAAAATTAAGAACTCTTACCTCAACGAAAAGCTGTCTTTATCCATGAACAGGGGCGGCCGTGGGCGTCCTATGTCTGCCGCTACAAACCTTAATCGTAGTCCTGGCAGTAGCGCAGGCTCTCTGTTCACAGCCGCCACAGCTAAAGGCAAGGCACCCAGCACCGTCTGTCCAACATACCAATTATAAAATGTGCTATTAAAAGTAACTGTAAACTTTACTCACTGTAACTGTAACTACACCTAAGACCTTAGCACTTATATCTCAAGGTGGGTGGCGCGTTTAAGTTGTAGATGTCTATGGGCTCCAGTAACCACTTAACACCAGGTGGGCTGTGAGCTCGTCCACCCATTTAAGCAATAAAAAAAAACTCATTTTTTTTAACTCCACTTAAGGAATGTTTAACTGCTCCAAGTTAAGATTTTCTCCTGTGTCATAAACGTAAAAAACATACATTTACATACTAGCTGCTAGCCGCAGCTTCGCCTGGGTGGTTAAGAAAAATTTTCTGTACTTTAGTTTTAGTTTAGAAGGACCCCTTTGTCATGGCGCCGCAATTCCAAGGAGTATCCCTGCAACCTTCCGAGACTATCGGGCTACTTGGGTTGACGTTTAGAGCGGTGTCCAATTTCTGAGTCATTTGTTGGGCAAAACCGAGCTGTCGTCCAAAATGCTGGGAGTCCTCAACAGAGTGAAGTAGTACTTCACGCCTGCTCAAAGACTTTTGCTTTGTAAAGCACAAGTCTGGCCTTTCGTGGAGTACTGATTCGCTCCGAGCGGGGCTCCCACATACCAGCTACTTTCATTTGACTCCATACAGAAGGGGGCCGTTCGGATTGTCGATAATTCCATTCTCACGGATCGCTTGGAGCCTCTAGGTTTGCGGAAAGACTTCACTTCTCTCTGTATTTTGTACCGTATACTCCATGGAGAGTGCTCTGAAGAATTGCTTGAGATGATGGATTATCTCGTTTTAAGTTCGCTTAATGAAAGACTATCATCACGAGATCATTAGTACTCACAGTTTATCATAGAGAATGAAAACAGGAAATGTATTTGAACGTAAGCATAGAAGTGTAAAATAACGTTAAACACCTTTATTACTGTTTCTTTTGAACCTTTTACAGTATACCTTTTAATTAGAGATGGGGAGCCTTAAAGTATGGTTCAGCGAACCCTCATCAAACAAATACTTTTTTATCGAGGCACATTACATAATTTTTTGTAAACAAATTATGTACGCCTGTTAACTTCAATGATAAAATTGCTGAAATAATTGATGTAGGTTTTTTAATTAACTCGAGCTCGAGAACAAGTCTACGCAATAGCGTAGACTAGTGATCAGGAGGGATCGACTCTCGGTGCTTTTAAACTCTGCAAAACATTGCTATTGCTATGGCGAGGACTCACAGCTCCGTGAGCTTACCTACACATCCGGTAAAGCCATAATAGCCCCTCAAGGCTACTCGCAGTAGATAAGCAAAAAAAAAGCGAATCATCATTTGTCCGAAACTTTCACACCAGATCCAAACACCTACACTGCTGAAGTAAATTTACCTGGCTTCGTCGGTAACTTCCCAGGAATCCGATAGTAATTGTTCCCTCAATGGTCCAGTTCCGACTGTAGCTAGGACAGGCTTCATAACCACCGCATTCAACGTTAACTAGATGAAATAGACTGACCCCGTCATCCTCAATACTATCACTGGAAACTCTTTCTTCTATGAGATTAGTTGTCACACTGGTATATATATTATTAACGTAAATAGAATCTAGAATATTCGCCGGGGTTGTTGCGTCCTCATCTGCATGCGAGGCATTTGTAGCATCACAAGTTTTTTTGAATTCCGACAACCTCGCTTTGCTTACAGCCGGCTTAGGAATATCCGTTTCCGTAACAGTATCATAATTATTCTCAATTGTCAATCTGTTGTTAGAGTTGCTAATTTCGTTAGTAAAGCTCGTTTCAGGGTTAAGGTAATAGCATTTTATAGCCGCCGTGGTGAACAAAATTAATAGAAATAGATGTTTCATGATCTCCATCTTGCAAAGCTTCATATTCGTTGCTTCATCTTACTGTACTGTGTCACACCTGAAAAAAATAAACAAATATAATTTGAAAACGTGCTCAAAACAGCAAAAGGTAAAAATATATGGTGCAGGTGCAGGTGGTGCAGTAGTTAGTGGTTCTGACTGTTGGGCCGAGGGTCGTGGGTTCGATTCCCGCATCGAGCGAACATTCGTGTGATGAATAGGTTTGTTTGTTCTTTCTCTGTGTGTTTATTATCTATAATTTATATACATGTGTATATATTTAAACGTAAGCATGTATGCCAGTCTCTGGTACCCATAACACAGGGAATCCTAATTTAGGGCCAGATGACCGTGCGGCTCTGATAATTCTTAATTTTGCCCCCATATTTTAGAAAACGCGAGGATTGGTTCGTCCGTACAGGCTTATAAGATGAAGCTCTCATTAATCCTATCCCCCACCGTTCCGTATTTCACATACGTTCGCCATCGCTATCCCCGGAATGCAGGGTCGTTTGGCAATGCATAAACACTGCCAGTTTTTTTTTCCATAATCATATAGTCCAAATCGTATCCAACTCTAATGTTTAGCCACGATCAAGCTGGACGAATAGCGAGCGTATGTTATACCGATTTCCTTCCTTCCGATTTGATGCAAGTAGTTATTTACGAAAGTTAGGTAGCTAGGTACGTATGAGGTACGAGGTAGGTACGAGGCAGGTAGGTAACGAAAACTGCCGGTAAGCATCTGCGCGAGATGGAAGTTGAAGGGTTCTCAGTCTTGGTGGCCCAAATTGCATTCGGCTTTACACTATTTTCCCCTTACCCACCCTGAGTTTCGTTTTGATGAGGATCGGAATCTACGCGCGACAGAGTGGGTCCGACTACAACATACCTATGTCACAGTCCAAATAAAAGTCTCAAACCCCAGCTGAAGGAAAAACTTACTCATTTCAAAGATACAACAACTCAATCTTAACTATCTTCCAGGAAACCGAGTGGCGAGACCAATCACAAAACGGATGATGGCTTTAAAACAGAAAATTTTAACAATGGTTACTACCTAGAACCACTGCGTTCCTCCGCAGTGCGTTTCCAGAGATCTTTTTTGCCACGCACCATCCGGCTTTGGAATGAGCTCCCCTCTACGGTGCTTCCCGAGCGCTATGACATGTCCTTCTTCAAACGAGGCTTGCGGAGAGTATAAAACGGTAAACAGAGGCTTGGTTCTGCCCCTGGCGTTGCTGACGTCCATGGGCGACGGTAACCACTCGCCATCAGTTGCTGAATGCTCAACTGCCTACAAAGGCAATAAAAAAACCTGTTTTTTTTACATTAAGTAAAAGATTATTACACTGTTTACCGCGTCTTCATCGATTTGTTCGAATGCTTCGTTCTCTTACCTTCAAAATTATAAGAAATACCATCAGCAAACAATAGAATATTACAAAATTTGATATTAATAAGGTCATACCTTTAATTAAAAATAGATCCCAAAATCTTTGCTTGAGGGAGTGGCATAGTTATAGTTTAAGTAATTAATTTCCAATTATAATTAATGAATTAATCAAAACAAAGGCAATCAAAGGGCTTTGTTAAATCACGAAACAATCTCACAGCGTTACGGGATTTCTCTCAGGTGGGAAACTTGTTTACATAGAGAAATCTCCGCCTCAATAATTGAGCAGTCTAGAAAAACTATACTACTCCTTATGTAAAATTCTCTTTCAGTAAAAAAATCTCGAATTTATTTACTTAGCTAGATGCCAGTGAACTTCGTACTACATACATATATTTTGCATAAAATGCGGTCAAAACTTAATATAAATTTTTATCTGCATTATTAAATGCTACACAACAGTTATACACTTAATCAACTTAAAGCTTTCTGTTTTTTTTTATGATTGAATGATCACTGGTGGCCCGGAGGCCTTTCCAATTTCACCAGGACAGGTGGGCGAGCAAAGGCTCAACCAGATGGGGTGGGATTTGCTAACAGCTGCTAACAGCTGCAATTCAAGAGCAGCTGCTTCGCGCATGAGCTTTCTGATATACTATATTTTCGTTTTTTTTGCGTAAATTTATAAAGTTAATGATGGTTTTCCGACTCGCGAACACGTGACGTATAATAATCGCCCATGAGCGAAACAGGGAAACCCCAAGTTGATTCCGCAAACTTGAAATGATTGGTCTTGCGATTTATTTATAGTTATCGCAAAGGCCAGACGCAACTGTAGACGCTTAAAATCAAATAAAAAATCTGTTGGAATCATCGGTTTACGCGGGATCAAGACATGCCCTCCTTTGTATATTTCCTTGATGATCTTGACCTCGATGACGTTATTCATTAGCTTTTTCACACTCAGAATCGTTCCATTGCACAGTCGAGGTTGTGGCGACTCACTTACTCGCCACTACTTGGGCAACCGCCTTACAATACAACTTTTGAAGTCGTCGTGGCCTAAAGGATAAGACGTCCGGTGCATTCGTATGTAGCGATGCACCGGTGTTCGAATCCCGCAAGCGGGTACCAATTTTTCTAATGAAATACGTACTCAACAAATGTTCACGATTGACTTCCACGGTGAAGGAATAACATCGTGTAATAAAAACCAAACCCGCAAAATTATAATTTGCGTAATCACTGGTGGTAGGACCTCTTGTGAGTCCGCACGGGTAGGTACCACCACCCCGCCTATTTCCGCCGTGAAGCAGTAATGCGTTTCGGTTNATAACATCGTGTAATAAAAACCAAACCCGCAAAATTATAATTTGCGTAATCACTGGTGGTAGGACCTCTTGTGAGTCCGCACGGGTAGGTACCACCACCCCGCCTATTTCCGCCGTGAAGCAGTAATGCGTTTCGGTTCGAAGGGTGGGGTAGCCGTTGTAACTATACTGAGACCTTATAACTTATATCTCGAGGTGGGTAGTGCATTTACGTTGTAGATGTCTATGGGCTCCAGTAACCACTTAACACCAGGTGGGCTGTGAGCTCGTCCATCCATCTAAGCAATAAAAAAAAAAAAATTCAACAAAATCGCGGTCGCCTATGAATTCAGGCAATCATCTATTATTGTTGTTCAACACTTCGGCAATCTTGAAAAAACTGCGGACAGTACACATCGATATTCGCTGTGCTACCTATCGTTCGTGTCAGTGCTTTACTACTCCTATATTTTATTTCTTTATCGTACCACTCCTGTTATAGTTTGTTTGTGTACATACTTATCTACAATAAACTATTTAAAGCAGTACATATTCATACTCTGGGTAAACCATCCTTCGTGTCAGCGCCTACCTAATAGAGTTAGAAGCAGAACTACTACAACTGCTTCTACAAGGTTGATTAATGTTACGCAGTTTATTTATAACTGATCCTACTTTTGTATTTGTGAGGTGGTAGTAAAGGCTAATCCAGGAATCTTAAAAACTCTCTGGGATAGTTGTCTACGTCATCCTGATTTGAAACTGTTTCAACTGATTTATAAGAAATCTACTCTCCCGGAAGAAAGTTCTGCTAGTCACATTGAGATCATCGACGTATTTGTGTTTGGCTGCCAATATTGCTCGTTCACTTTTCCAATTATCGTTTCGATTCTGTTGTTCTATTCGTAAAAGCCCGCTAAATAAGCTCCTCTTTGTAGTCGGTAAAGTTACATAAATCCGTGTGTAGTGTAATTAATCCGGTCGAGATATTAACTGCGACCTTACCATTTCCAATATCTACTTAAGTAATAACTGCTTCGAAAACATAATCGCTGTTTGATCCTATAGCTTTTTTTTTTTCCTACCTAAGCTGGTAGCCTTGAGAGGCTATTCCAGCGTAACCGTAACTAGTAGGTGAGCTCACGGGGCTCAAACCTGACGACGTTGCTAACACGAACCCTAGCAAGAGCCGTGCTTCGCAGAATCTACCACCGGATCGGAAACGCGACCCACTGAGAAGATCCGGCGAGAAACTCAGTGGGCTGTGTCTGAGAGTTAATTTACTCGNGAGAGGCTATTCCAGCGTAACCGTAACTAGTAGGTGAGCTCACGGGGCTCAAACCTGACGACGTTGCTAACACGAACCCTAGCAAGAGCCGTGCTTCGCAGAATCTACCACCGGATCGGAAACGCGACCCACTGAGAAGATCCGGCGAGAAACTCAGTGGGCTGTGTCTGAGAGTTAATTTACTCGTCGAGCCCTTCGTTGCAAGCGACGGGTTCGACGAGGGCGGTGACCGGTGCTTGAAGTACCTAGAAGCACCGTCAGTGGATCGGGAGGAGATCCTATTGCAAAAACACGTACATGTTAGTTGTTAATTGGAGTGTCATCACATGCCGCCACAAATGCTTTTAGTTTGTCAGCAACAGTTAATCGGGGAATGATTGGAAGAGTCTGACGAAAATCTTCTGACAACACCAAAAATATCCTTAAACATTCTGTCCAGTGCCCTCAGTGACCTCGCCATCGTACATGTATTTCGGGGACGTTGCAAACTGGTGCTTAGTTGATTTGCATGTTTAGTGTTAATTTCAAGGCAGAATGTGTAGTTCATCCACCTTCTACCAATATTGCAGCTATTCCAGATGAAGCCAACGGCTATCTAGGGCGGGCTACTTCGTTTTGCGATCTGATATTTGCCAACCGTAATGAATTATTTATTAGGAAGTATTATTAGGAACACTTTTCCATGCCCTCGGGAGCATCAAGGAAGTAAATTCCATCAGACGTAACGCAGGTCGTCTTATCCTTGGCATTTTAAAACAATATAACCGTAAATAAAGTTTACGCGTACTTACAAATTCATGATAGATTTTAATTTAGTAAATTATTTATTTTCTTTTTTCCAGAACCAGCTGACACTTTCACAGTATTATTTCTGAAACAGTACTGTTGTGAAAAAAAATATGTTTTTAAAACTGATCAAAGTTATCTGACCTCGTACTACAGCTTTGAAACAAATTTCTGAACGTACTTATAAATATTTGACAACAAAGTAACAAAAGAATTCAAATGTTTCACAGCTACAAACAAACAA